GTTATTTGAGAATCCTTATAACAAAGATGCTAGCAACTTCACTTGTTATATTTAAATGACCAGAACTATGTGGTTTATTTTTATAAAAGTCAGTTCATAACAGAAGAAAGGGTAAAAGTAAATTCTCCAGTTGCATATGACCATGTTTTGAGGCATGTTTGCCATTATCATAGGAATCATCAACTTTACGACAAGCTTCGGTAATTACTCAGCCTATTAATTACCACAATCATAAAATACGTACAATGAACGACTCATATGTCGTGTAAAAAGTGAATTGAGCATAATGAATCACCACACAGCCGCTCATACACTACTGCCCTGACAAACATGTTGCTTCCAAGGGTACTACACAGCGGACAATTGACTCGTATGGTTAATAAGCTTGCCCAAAAACGAGTGTTTTTCGTATTTCAAGCTCCAAAGCTGCATAAAGTAAAAGTTTTGGAGAACATAAGCTGCACCAAGTATCCCTCCCCATCGAAACAAACAAACCAGTAATTTTAACTGCAGCTAGTAAGCCCAGAAAAACACCAAAACCATAAGAGATCACCAGGTGAGGAAGAATCAGTGTATTTTGCACAAAGCGCACACCATGCACTATAGGTTAATGTTAACTTTCTTCAGAGCCTCGACACACCAAGAAGGCACCTCGTCGAACTCGTACTCCACATCAATGTGGAAGTCGCTATTTCCAGAACTAGTCTTCGACGGCCTGCATCGTCGTTGGAAGAACTCACGAACGAATCGGGGGAAGGCGTCAGCCAGAATGGCCTCCCTAATCTGACGCATGAGATTGAGCAGGTAGGTCAGATTGTGTAAGGTGACGTAGGAGGCGGCATTTGACTGACGAGCACCAAAGGCAGCATGGAGCCAGGAGCGCGAGATATTGCCACTACATGCTGGACACGGACATCCAGACTGAATTGGACGAAAGTCATACGTGTAGTTTGTCAAACGGAGATTCACCTCCAAATAAAACCACAAGCCCAAGTCGGAGATGTAGTGAACGGGAGCTCTTATCTGATAAAATGTTTCTTTGCCAATGTGCACTACTTACCAGCCCCCAATCAACAAGAGCTTGACCAAATCGGGCTGTTCGTGTGGGATAGACGCAATCAAACATGTCACAACCCAAAGCAACGCAGACAATCAGATCAATAGGGAAGCCAACACCCATCAAGTAGCGAGGTCTATCACGGGGGAGCAGACTTGTAGACTGATGGACGATGCGACAAAAGTCAGTCTTTGCCTCGCCCCCGCTCAAACCACCAACAGCGAATCCTTGCACCTGCAATGCGATGAATATCAAATTAACAAAAAAAATACATCAACCCATTAATAGGCACTTATATTCAATGCCAAAGACACCTCGAATGAATTCTACGTTAATATGATTTCAACAACGT